AAGTTCATCCTGTTGCGCCGGTACGGTGATCTCGAACCACGCAAACAGGTAACTGCCCATCGCATAAGGCAGAATGACAGCCTGCGGCGGAGGTGACCCATGATGAGGGATGAAAGTCGACGTTATTTTCCGCAATCAGGCATGCTAGTGTCTTCAGGAACATTGGACACTCTTTGCCAATCATGCCCGAGGTAGAGAAAACTAAAGGGGTAAATGCACCTCTCTCCACTGCTGTCACCCGCTCTCCGTACGGGCGCTTCTTCATCTTTTCATGGCTTAGGAGCTGGCTGATGACTTCCCGACGAGACAGAAAGCTTGCCTTTGGGTGTGTCACCCGGATATTTAAAAAAACATCTTGCTGTCTCGTCCAGAAGCCACCAGCCCGGGTGCCCAGGCGGGCCCCTGCCTTGGAGCCGCTCACCATCATTATTGCAACAGAGGCGGTTCTACCACAACATCCTGGACTGCTTCACGCATAACGTGAGCCAACAAGTTCCGGATCACGTTGTGGCGTGCCATGGGGTAGCCTCCTGCCGGACAGATCATCGCATGGTCGATTGCCATTGCAGCACCACATACACAAGTTAGCGGCAAACCGTCAGGCTCACGCTGCAGGCCGTAGCGGATACAGAATGCATCTCGGAAATCCAATTTATTGAGTACCATCTGCATTTGGGATGATGTCATCACCTACAAGTATCTACTCTCCCGTTCCTTACCATCTGTACTTCCAAAAGACCGCAATCTTTTGGCACGCCATATTAAATCCAGCACCCCAATCCCTCCAAAATTTCAACCTAGCGCAGGCTATTTTATTGGGGTGTTCTATTGCGGGTATCATTATGAAGTGGTTTTGCACGAAGCTCGAAGCGAAATAGACAACGCTGCGTTCTTCTGTGCCATATGGCTGACCGTTTAACAGGAGACATCGTCAGGAAGCTGTACCTTACGTATGTCCGCCCCACAGCAGAATACGCCGCCCCAGTATGGGAGTCCTCCCTCTCTGCTGCACAGCGGCTCACCCTTGAACGGCTGCAAGCCAGAGTAGCTCGCACAGTCATGCGGCTTGAGAGATGCCCTTGCCCATCAGACGAGCCCAAGTCATCATTGTTTAAACAGCTGGGGTGGCCAAGTCTATCCTGGCGCAGGAAGATCGCCTGCCTTATGGAATTCTTCCATTTGGTCACCACCCAACCAGAACTTTTTGAAGCAGCGGGATACTGCCCCACGCGTAGTCGCCGCCGCCAACTCGCATTCACTCTGCCACGGGTTGGGAAACACGCCGGGAGGTCATTTCTCTTCCGCACCGCTACTGTCTGGAATGCCTTGCCCGCAGACCTGAGAGCCACAGCCTCGCAGTCCCTGTTTCACAGTCACATTTGCACGCACTTCTCTGACACCAAACACAATGCCACTCCTCACTGACATGCCTCTGTCCTCCTTCTTTGTGCCTTGCGCTTATTCTTATTAAATTTTTGTGTTTCTGTTTCGGTACATTTCGTATTTCAAGGCATATCCCGAGGCTATAGGTATCATTGATTAAAGGACCATTCTGGAACATTCAGCATAATTGTATTTCTCTTGCTAGGCTGTTCATTACGAATTATTAGCCCTCCACTGTCTGCTATCTCAACCCTACAGCCTCCCATTATAATGGAACTCCCTTCAATTTAGACTACGTCTTTGGGAAATCCTCAAATATATAATAATAATAATAATAATAATAATAAAAACGAATTTCTCTGATGTCCATTGCTCGATGCCTTGTACACATCTACATGTATATACATGTTCGCAATACCCTAGAACACAATTGTAGCAGTGGCAAAGTAGAGAAATAGTAGTAAAGCACACACATGGTGATTTTTTTTTTTGTTGACAATGCAACACAATTATTGTGGAAAGATCACAACAATAAGAGACAAGATCAAAAGGAAAGCTTTCCAATAATAATAATAATAATAAAACGTAGCCTGTAAAATGTAAAAAGTCACTGACTACAGTTTAATTCAATATCCATGTCCAGTATTTATAATAAAAATAACCTGCTGCAATTTATAGATTCTCACATGCGAGCAACCTGGGCCTCAGCAACAACCAGCTCAGCAGACTCCGGATGCCGAACCAATCGCTCACACAATCCTTTCATTTCCATGTTTTCATTTTCTTTTTACAACTTACTTCTCCCATCCCCGATCTCCCTTTGGTGCGTCCATCGAGCTGTGAAGCCGAGACCTCTGGTCGGCTGAGCTTATTGGGCCCAACATCACACTCCATTATTCACTTCAGTGTCTGGAAATACGTCGATATTGTGGACAAAATGGGGGTAAACGCCGGCATACCCACACAGCACTTCCCAAGCCTTGTCCCTCTTCCCGCAGGAACTTTGCATTAAAGTTAGGGAGTGAACAGAACATCTTCTTTCTGATGTGTGAAGCCCAAGAATGCCAGTGCTCAAAATTGGCGCTTGAGTTATTTCCTGTCACGCAGAGCACCTCTCTACAGTGAAAACATTTCAAGCTGCCTTTTTTGTATGGTATGGTACAAACCTGACCACTTTTGCGGATGATACCACTTTGTACTCCCTCCTATACCAAGCCTCGAATGCCTCTCTATAACGCAGCCTAGATTAGGTTCATAACTGGGGTAAAAAATGGAGGATTGCGTCTGAGTCATCAAAATCGCAAATCATCACTCTATCACACCAGAGGAAGGGTACAGTGACTCCAAAAGCTGTCATTCGGCGGAACTCCTCTCCTACCAAATGAATCTGTCAAGATCATAGATGCTCGAAGTGACGTTTGATTCCAAACTTAGCTACTGACTCCACCTTCCGCAAGTTGCATCACGTGCCAAGAAGCGGCTGGGCCTCCTGCAGAAGGCAGCACCCCTCCTGAGCCACGAGGAATATGCCCCCCCCCCTCCCTTGCGTGGATGAGATCAGCTCCCTCCCTGGCCATGCTGAATGCTGTCCAGCTCCGCGTCCTTAGTGTCAGTACCATACTTCCCAGCCTCACTGTTCGGGGAAAGGTCTTGCTCTCTGCCTACTGTATAAACCGGTATGGGACCATGTGTTGCAGCTATGTTACTAAAGTACCACCAGTTACCTGCACAGCAGCCCTCTACTTCAATCCTGGTCACAGCACCACTTCAATTGTTGGCCGCTCCGGTTCACGTTCCGACCTTAACCAACGCGAAGCAGACTTCATGGAGGATGAACGACGACTCGGCACATCCGCAGTTCATTCCGGAATTTTTTTTTCTGAATCTGGCAAAGAAGTGACAGGTCCAGGTGTTTTATTACTCAAATATATCAAATATATCATTCCGGAACCGCCACGACGAACGTGGCCTCCCGCGTGAGCCTCACCATATCTGGTAATAATTTGTTGCGGCCGAAATTTCGTTTTGCAAGGTTTCGTGTGGCAGTGTAGCAGGTATTGGCAGTACGGACCGAATTTTAAATGCGACCGAAATTTGAGCGCGCCGAAAATTTGTAGACTTGCAGTACCCATTCTGTAGAGCATCGATGACTGTGAAGTCTGTTTTGCAATTTTTTTTTTTTAACGGTACGGTGTACAATATTTTGTGGAAACCAACTCTCATGGTCACACAATTACAGGCACAGAAGTACCGTACTTCTACCAACGTCTACCGACTTCTGCCAGCCTCACACCTGGTTGAGCCGGTAGAAGAAAGTAGAATATACTGTTTGGGGTAGAGAGAAAAAACCCCGAGCACGTCAACCGAATATTCATTGGTTTTATTTGAGGGAAAGATGCAAACGGGAAAAGTCTGAAGAAAATTTGACTGTCACCACCAGGACTTGAACCAGGGGCCTTCACTTGAGCATCTACGGAAAGCAGTACAGTCAACTTCGCTAATAACGACTGCGGATATAACGACCATTCGCGAATAACGACAGAATTCCCATGCCCAGAGCAAAGTCTCATCGAACTGAATACCTAAAATGAGACTTCGGGTAAAACGACACTTCGCGAATAAGGACACTTTTCTGATACCCCGCCGAGTGTCGCTATACGCAAGGTTGACTGTCGTTTCTACTGAAACCTGTAGATCAGAAAGGAGCGCCTCCTAAGGCCCAAGTAAGGGGTCGTCCATAAATATCGAACTTTTTTTCACAAAACGAAATGATTTCGTTATGGGGTGGGAGGGGGTTGACCAATTTCGTTTCAGAAAGCATTGGTTCATGTGCATGGCCGTTGTATATGCACGTATGTCAACATTTTTTCACGTTCTGAGGGGGAGGGAGGGAGGGGTTGGGTCTAAACTAAAATAATTCGTTTTGGTGAAAAATGTTCGATATTTACGGACGGGCCCTAACCCTGGGCATGCAAGACGTGTTTGTTTGACCTGATGTTATTATCAACTTTTTGAATTGTTCTCTAATTCTTTTACAGCCACATGCACAGTACTCGTACTAGTGACTCTCTCTCCCAGGCGATCTCATGCTGAGATGAACTAATTTCAAAAAGTGTTTGGCTAAGCGTTCAGTCTGCTTTCGGCAGTGAGACGATGATTTCGGAGAGAGAACTATAAGTTACAGATGTTCTTCTTGTACCTGTACAGCGAATAATAATAATAATAATAATAATAATAATAATAATAATAATAACAGCTCGCATGTACCCCATGGGTGAGATCACCAATGGGGCTAACGCATCTGTCGGCAAAAGAGTTAGAGAAAACGAGAAACACATGACATACACACCTTCTTCATTCTGTTATTGCAGGGAAAAACTACCTCGATTCCACCATGAGCCTAGGTATGAGGAATATAATATTAATTAAGTACAGAATGTTATTTACCAAAAGGATATTCAAGTAAGCGCAGATATTTTTTAGCATGATAAGTTAGTACATTGATTCACAGCGAATATAGGGATACAATTCCAAGTTCTGTAGTGATAGTTGCATTGCCCTGTTAGACTGGCAGTGGACTAAACATGGTGTATTCTGCTTGCTGATTCCACCTTGCAGTGCTTTCTCGGAATCAGCTGGAGGATATTCCGCGTCTCCCGTCGTCCTTGACCAAGTTGTCTGCGCCGTCGAATCTGCTGACCAGTATTCCGGATGTCCGCGTGAGTACTGGATTGTCTGGTTCTCTGTCTGTGTGTGCACGCTCATCGTGTGTGACTGTGTGTGTGTGTGTCTCTCTCTCTTTCTCTCTCTCTCTCTCTCTCTCTCTCTCTCTCTCTCTCTCTCTCTCTCTCTCTCTCTCTCTCTCTCTCTCTCTCTCTCTCTCTCTCTCTCTCTCTCTCTCTCTTTGTCTCTCTATTTCTCACCCTCTCCATGTCTGCGTACTATGACATACGTTTGTGTTTGTAGAAATGTGCTGACCTGATCGAGCTGCGCCTCAACAGCAATCGGCTAACGGCCGTCAGTGAAAGCATTCTAGAGAACAAGAGGTGAGCACACTCGGTTGTAGTCCACCACCATACCTGTCGTGAGGACTTCACCGGCACCTGGCTAGTCACCTGAGACTTCTGTGTACGGTCCCCTCAGTTTAACAGGCATACTCTACTCAATCTCCACCTCGGCTTGGTTGGCTCTCTGGTTGGCATCAAAGTCATCTGCTCTAGTGCAAGGCTCGCTGTGATTCTCGCAGTAAAAGCACTCTGACTTTGATACGGGCTTTGAGCCAATTTCTAAACGCTTTGTTGTGCACTAGACCTCGTCGGTTTGGCCAGTGACTTTGAGCTGCGTTGATAACACCTAACAGCAGGCGTGTAGCCTGCATGGAGCACCGGGGGGGGGGGGGGGCACGGCACGTCCACGACAGTAGGTTCAGCATGCACATAATGACTAGGAATGGCCTGCACCAGCTATCCTACACATATGCGGCCGTGCACTCCCCCCCCCCCCTCTCCGTAAAAGGGGGACCAGCTACGCCCCTGTGACAGGGACGAAGCAGCAAGCTTTCCAGTCATCTGTTACACAGTGAATAGTTTTAGCTTAGACTACAATCCAACGACACTCAACGAGAGAACAAGCTTCAGGCTTCAGCACTGGCTTTCAAGATGCTGATTGGGAAAGTGTCTGTCTGTCTGTTTGTGCGTGTGTGTCTGTTTGTACGTGCATGTGTGTGTGTGTGTGTGTGTGTGTGTGTGTGTGCGCACTCGTATGTGTGTGCGCGCGTGTGTGTGTGTGTACGTGCATGCGTGTGTGCGTTGTGTTTCAGATTGTTTGTGGTGGACATCGGGAGGAACAATATCGCTTCGTTTAAGTAAGCACTCGGTCAAACTTGCAGGCTTAAGAGGTTCACAGTTGTCACTGTGCCCGTATATGTACGTCGTTTATTCAATCTGCGGACACAACTGTTTCTTCCTTTGTGGACTCATCAGCGCAGCACAGAGGATATGAAGCCGAACCTGATAGCAATGAAAAATAAATTTTCAAAAGCCAGATTTAAACCAGGCCCGAATGTACCTTGCCAGAGTGTGCAAACTGACAAGTCAGTGAGCTCTGCATAACGCAAACAGCAAGGCAGTACCCCACACAAGAGTGCTCAACTGCTACAAGAGCAGGAGCTAAATACTCAATCTGCGGGCAGAACTGTTTCTTCCTTTGTGGACTCATCAGCGCAGCACAGAGGAAATGAGGCCGACCCTGATAGCAATGAAAGATAATTTTTCGTCGTTTATCCGAGCCATCCAGGACCGAACGCCGTGTGTAACATTGAAATATTGAAATATTCGTATTTAAACTCTGAGTCACATAATGTAAAACGGGCAGCCTCTGCTATCTGGAATCCTTCGCGCCGTGTATTATTCTGTTCCTGGTGTGCCTGTCCTTGCCTGGAGATTCGTTTCGCTCTAATTGCTCATAGTCACAAGAACAAACCAGGAGGGAGGAAGAAGAAAAATAGGAAAGTTTTAAAAGTCTTCGGCGGCTTCATCTGAAGAAAATTTCTTTCAATGAATGCATTCGGCCACGGAACACTTCACATGTGTATGACTTCTGCTCGACTTGTTCTAGTAACACAGCTATGTAATCTCACACTTGATGTCACCTTGTTTTCTGCGGTGTCCTTGCCGTCCGCTTGCAGCGACGTGGACTGTCTTGGCCGCTTGAAGTCGCTGCGTAACTTCAGTCTCCAGGGCAACCGAGTGTGCGACTTCCCCGACTACGCGGAGAAGGTGAGATTGGTGTTGAAATTCAGTGACTTCACTGCTGGCTACTATCATTATCCTGTTGTTTGTTGCAGGGCGTATACAGACTGTCGGTCGCCGAAGAATTGGGGGTCAGCCTCCTAGCCTAGACTGCTCTTATTTTCATCAGGAGTACATAACCCCCAAGAGTGTGCAACTCCAGCTATGGGGTCTGCGACGGCAGAACTTCACATCACGTGATGAACCCGTACACATTACTTGCACTCTGTGCATGATAGATACAGGTGTTGGACGCAACCCAGCTTTGCATACAACTCTCTTGTGGTCGCTTTGCATTGTTTTCCAGCGTAGCCTTTTGAACCATGTCACATGATCTGAAGTTCTGCCGTCGCAGCACTGTATAGAGGTTGTGCAGACAGTTGCACACTCTTGGGGGGGGTGATGTCTCTTGATTTCATGCCTTACAATCTATGCACAGTTGAGTCACCGTGTGCACATTGCTCTGCTATGCATGGTGAAATTCTAGTGTGGTCGTTCTTCCGCACTCTGTTCTCCGGCGCTCCGTTCTTCGCCGCCCGACAGTACTGTTTGCACACAGAACAATGTTTGTAGTGCACTTTAAAGGTGTGGCAGTATAATTATGATGTATTTGTGTGCGCTCATGCGTTGGTCATGGTGGTCATACTGCAATTTCTGTGCTGCTGTTTGCATTCGTGGTGGGTTGTTATGGTGCTGCTGTCACTGGAATTGTGTTATGTCATTTTTGTCAACTTGGTCTTGTCGGAATCATTGTTATTCCGAACCCTGTGTGGGTGTGGATGTTGCGGTCTAGATGTGGGTTTGTGGGTGCCTGTCTGTCTGTGAGAGGGGGGGGGGGTGAGAGTGTGTGTGTGGATGCGTGCGTGTTTGTGTGTGTGCGTGCGAGTATTCCTATCCATCTTTTATTGTGAATATGAGTGTGTATCTGTTTGGTGTTCGATTGCTTCAGCTGAAGGAGCTCCTGCCGCAAGTGAGGATTTTCGATGGTCGAAAGCGGACAGGTAAGATGGCTTGGAGTCTCGATGGGGATGTGCAGCCATCTACTAGTATATCTATATGATAACGCTGAAGACGGATGAGAGTACTCATTGCTGGTGTTGATCGACCTTTTTCCGAAGTATAAGCCGCTCTCTGAACACACAAAATGCACCCAAATTAAGATGTCTGTATTTCGTGACAAAGAATGGGGGTGCGGCTTATACATGTACTCCAGTGTGGCTTATACTCTGGACAATACGATTTATCTATATCCCTGTGTGTGTGTGTGTGTGTGTGTGTGTGTGTGTGTGTGTGTTGGTGTGTGTGTGTGTGTGTGTGTGTGTGTGTGTGTGTGTGTGTGTGTGTGTCGTGCCAGCTAGTTCGGTTGGTGGGTACACTTATGCCGGATTGTGTTGGGTCTGTTGCCAACGGGCTCGGCTGCTTGAAGGTGTAATGTTGTTTACACGACAACGCCCGAAAACGATACCTAAACGGAACGAAATGGAAACGCACTTCAAAGTGTTTTGAAACTTTTTCAAATCGTTTTCGTTCTCGTGTAAACGGTGAAAACAGTGGAAACGATTGGAAACGGAGCGCGGTCATGGAAACCATTCCGTGCAGGACTGTATTTCGCGGGAAATACCCAACCCTTGCGACCACCAGCACGTACCAATTCCAACTAACGTGTTACTTCGCGCCCTTGCGGCAAGCCACCACGTACTAACTCCAGCCTGCTCGCCCGTTTTCCGTTTTCGTGTAAACTGTTCAAAGCGATTCGCCGTTCTCGTGTAAGCGGTTTGAAAACGATTCGAGGCCAGCCCGTTTTCGTTCCGTTTTGTTTCGTTTCGGTTTGTCTCCGTGTAAACTTAACCTTAGTAAAAGTGAACTTCTTTTGATTTTCAGTATGTCACATCATTTTTTCTTCTTTGTGCGTTTTGACACTAACCCCTGGCATCGTGTTTGCCTTCATTGTTTCACACCCTCTCTCCCAGATCTTCCACATCTGGTCAAGTCCGTGGGACAAGCTACGAACTCCGAGGCTGCTCGCACTGCCGACGACGCTGAAGAAGATGGCGGTACAGATCGCCAGCAAACACCCGCCTCCGACTCACCAGCAAAGCAGGCCAGTTCGCCTACAAGCCATGCTGACACACCGCAGGCGAGGAAGAAGAAGAAACAAGCGGACGCGTCCAACGTCACTTCGGCCCATGGCAAGGTAGCGCGAGTATCCGAGAGCGGTGAAGCTGCTCCTAGCGCATCAAAGTCGAAGCAGGCTTCCTTGGCGGCTGTCGACAGCGAGTTGGCAGGGGACACCGCAGCCATGCCTTCAACCCCGACAAAGCAAAAGAAAAGTAAGAAGCCAAAGAACCGCCCCGTTGTGGAAGATGAGAGCTCTGATGTGGTGAATTCCGAGCACGCTTCACCTCTTGCTGCATCTCCAGTCAAGCGGAAAACCGAGCATTCGAAGCGGACACCAGTCAAGGATGAAGTGAGCTCCAGTAAGACAAGTGCCCAGCATACTTCACCCAACATCGCGACTAGCGGTGAGGCAGAAGGCACCACAGAGGCCAGCATAGCGACCCCGACAAAGCACAACAAGGACAAGAAGCTGAAACGGCAGCGCAAGGAGGACAAGGAGAGTGTTGGTACATCTTCCGCCACAACAGCAGCAGCAGCAACAGCCACAGTACCAGGAGCAACAGCAGCAGCAGCCGTAGACACTGAGACCACTTTTCCTGCAGGATCCATTGTCAGCGCAAAGTCAAAGAAACGTAAGCATGACTCTGCGGAAGCGATGGCTGAAGAGCCAACGGAAATGTCCGCACAGGCTATGGCCGCCGTAAACCATTGCAAGAAGGTCAAATCACCTGCCGACAAAGCACTGCAATCTACTCCGTCCGCTGCTAAAACGCCTTGCCCTGGAGAAACTAGCAGCCCCAAGAAACGCTCCAGAGTGAGTCAAGCTGCGGAGGTGGTCGCCTCACCGGCCAAGAAACACACGGCTACTTCTTCGCAGTCTGTTCTTGAGGAGCCGGAAGCTGTGCCAACCGGCAAGCAAAAGAAGCGTAAGCGACCCGATAGTGATCCCGTCGAGTCGACACCTTTGGTTGGTGATGCCGGCAGCAAGAACAGTCCCAAGAAGAAGAGAAAAGCAAGCGAGTCTGTCGAGTCAACGCCTCTCGTCAGTACTGCTGGCAGCCACGAGAGTCCCAAGAAGAAGAGAAAAGCATCGCTGTCTACTTCCCTACCGGACATCGCTAGCACACCGTCCAGGGACGGCGGTGACTCCAGCGGTGGCGAACTGGACCTGTCGGATCTTCTCGCTGACGGTCATGCCACGTCATCTGCCGCCGCGCCGGTCAACCCATCCGCCAGTGCTTTTTCGTCGACGAAACGTCTCCATAGGGAACGTCTTGACAGGGAAGAGGAAAAGGCCGTGTCGGTAACAAAGCATCCTCACTCCGGTGTCAAAGCTATGAAGATGGCCATGGATAAAGGAGCAGTGGCGCGTGGTAGGAAATCTGCGACCAAGTCGATACCGCCCAAGGCCCCGGGGACGGGATTCGATCCAACTAGCCTGCATGCCGAAAGTGACTTTGGTCTTGGAGATGCATCATCGTGGTAGTTAGATCACGTCACTGCAGCCTAAAAGGTATGATGTCATCCTATGGACAGATGATGGTGTCATCAATGACTCATCATGATGTACAGATGATGTCATTGTGACCTTTATTTTCTCGTATTCTCACTTGAATGTCTGTCTATGACTATGATACATGTACTTGGGCGTACATAAGAAAGAGGCACAGCTTGTTGTGCAAGTTGATGCTCTGAAGCTATTTCTGCTAGCATGTTATGTTCTCCTTTTGCCTGTTATTTCCGCGGGTAAGCCTTGGGCGCGAGTGCGTGTGTGTGTTGGGGGGGGGGGGGGGGGGGTGTATGCCCGTACTCCGCAGTGCACGTTGGCCTGAACGGGTGTCGTCAGGGGAACAACAAACACCAAACTGGCATGTGGATGTGAGCGATATTGTCCATACGGTTTAGTACTGTATAGCAGAGTGATGTTGTGCAGTCCAGGGGAGATTTCAAATGTCTATGTTGTGCAGTCCAGGGGGGGGGGGGGGATTTCAAATGTCTATGTTGTGTCGAGGTTTGCGTTCAAGAAAAGGTCGCCAATATCAACAGTTTTGTACAGCCTTCAAAATTCCCAAAGCCCTGCAAATGTCACAGGTTATCTTTTCACTAAGAACACTGGAAAGACAAGGGATGTGTACGGGACTCGTACTGAATGTTGATGACCTGGCCATGCCACTGAAGGCTACTGTATACCGTAGTGTCTTGTGTAGAAGCCTAATGTCTCATAAACTATAGAAGCCTGTTATGAATACAAGCATCATCTTCCAGATACGCTGTCGGCACAGTAGCGTGGTTTAGTGTTGACACACATAGAAATACCTGGTTCGAATAGAAGCCTAGCCCTGGCATCGGCTTCTATAGAAATATGCCTGGCTATTCATGACATTACGGTAATCATTGATCTGCTTGCTTTCTCGACTTGGTCTTCGGCAAAGACTTAAGAAGTAATTGCAACGTGAGTCGCTGGTGCAAGTGTAGCGCATTGCCGCGAGTGCGCAACTTCACCAAAGCATCTCAACTGAGGCAAATATCTACCATTTTATCACCATAAATATTAATTTGACCATCGGAGTCTAAGCCTCATGCCCCCCCCCTTTTTGGGTGAATTTTGAGTGTTCAAAGTGCGGTTGATACATGTACTCCAGAGAATACGGTCATTATGTAACAGTATTATAAGCATGGGTACCAAGCACTCACCAGGTCACTAGCAGTGCAGTGCTTCACCCATATCAACCAGCTACTACAGTATTCTGCACTCTGAACATTTATACCGATCACATTATAATATGCAGCAGCAGAACTTCATCGTACGTTGTCAACGGCAACCATGCACCATACATGTATGATTGTACCAGAGTAGCAGGAAGGATGTACCGGCGGGATTTGAACCCTACACCCGTCTTTCCGGGACAGTGCCCTGCCGATTTCATTGCCGGGGATCGCACAAAGCCGTGGCTCCTTCTTGCTACACTGCTCCCATGATATGACCCACCGTACCCTCTCTCCCCCCCCCCCCCCCCCCCCCGGCGAGTAGGTATGGGTGGTGTGAGTACACAGCCTGTGCGGGGAGCAGTGCAGCAAGAAGAAACCACATCACAGGTGTATGTGATCCCCGGTAGCCTAGTCGGTACGAGGTAACTGTCCCGGAAAGACAGTGGTGCCGGGTTCAAATTCAGCTCGTGGACCCCTCTCTTGCAACACATACAGGATTTCATTGTTCAGCAGTGGCTATACTCATGACACTGCTCACGAGTGTGATTCTCAGCAAATACGTACGAAGACTAGAACTGCACGGGAACGTTTTGTCATCCCAGCACAAGTACTAGACAATCCTATTATTTTATAGTGGAAGATTCACACCAGCTTGCCAGGCAGTCCACACCGCACAGAGTGATACCGATCCACAAGTGAAGTGCACAGAAGAGCTTGAAAGTGAGAGAAACCGAATCGACTTTGAAAGGAAAAATATCAGGGTGCGTACACAACTGCATGAGAAAGATTAGTCTGATATCAAAAGGAATGAGGTCATCCAGACCTAGATATCAAAAGCAATGAGGTCACCCAGTCTGACCCAGACCTAGATATCAAAAGCAATGATGTCATCAAGTCTAGGCATAGCATTGTAGCATGGTAGCAAGGCACAAGGTGATGCAGTCCGTTACATGTACAGGTAGGTACATGACTGTTTAACAAACAATAGAGAAATGGTAAAATAGAATTTTGTGAACAGCATGATCATGATCAGAGGCAAGGAAACCGAATACTGCGAGTGCATTGTCATTGTAGGTATTGATATGTACAGGTAATGTAAGGATGGAGTTACTCTAGCATATTACTATAGTATACAGTACATGGGCTACAGAGCAAAGTAGAGAAGATCTGGAAGGAAAACACCAAGTTACATCATACAAACATCAGTTAATTAAAAATATCAAGTACAGAATTTGAATATGGTAAGGCAGTAGTTCTGTGCCGCCTATATCCTGCTCAAATGTTCATATCCAGGGTGTAGAGGTGGTCATCTGATGTACTGAGCACCACTACTCCATTAAGTAGTGCTAGTGATGATGCACCAAACCATACATCCTGTACACTGGGCAACTCATCGGCGCAATGTGTACGTACATTGTACACAGTACACTTAATACGCTGTGAGGCTGAATCATAGCTAGCAATGACTAGACTACCATCAGACAGTGAACACGCCCGGCTGTTCTTCAGGTCTACACCATCTGGTTTTACAGCCTTTTGCCAATGACCATCATCAGTGTACTGGAGGAAACACCCAGTGTTACCACCAATGATGTACAGTGAACCATGACAGGCTACAAGTGAGGCATATGCACAGCCACATGGAAGAGCAGGTAGTGAATGTGAGGGGACAGCAGAGGATTTCCACTGCTGGTCAAGCAGTGTGTAACAGCTAACACAGTTGCTCATACCTGATCCACGGATGTAGCCACCTAGAAGACTAACACTAGTGTCAGTATCATGTACAGCACAGCCATGGTGCTGGCCATGCACCGGCGGCACCTTTGCTACTTCCACCCACTGCCTATCATGCTGATTGTACTGCAGTAGAACAGCTTGATATTGGTTGTCAAGACAATACATGTACAAAACCTGACCATTGCTTGCTAGGGATGGGAGTTTGAACAAACCACCATGATGTGGAAGAGGAAGGTCAGTCCAGTGACGTATGTCTGTAGTCTGCTGGATGCTTGTAATGGCGCAATCATCATCCAACCAGACAGCAACGAGAGTGTTATTGTGGACGATGAGTTCTGCACCACGATTGGATTCTGCTTCGATCCACTAGAGGAGACAAATACACACACAAACACACACACACACATGCACACGTACATGCACACCACCACACACACACACACACACACACACACACACACACACACACACACACACACACACACACACACACACACACACACACACACACACACACACACACACACACACACACACACACACACACACACACACACACACACACACACACACACACACACACACACACACACACACACACACACACACACACACACACACACATACACACACACACACACACAAAGTCACACACACACACACACATACACGCGTGCATGCACGCACACACACACACACACACACCTTGAACCTTGAACCTTGAACGTGCCCATTGCCGATGGCAATGATAGCGAAGGGACTATCCGCTAGCTTTGCAGTACGGAGCGTGGCGCTTGAGGTCCCCGGGACGACGGCAGACCTTTCCACATGCGCAGCGGAAGCCAGAGTCAGGATCAGGAGGAGCACGGGCGGGAGGACGACGATGAGCGATCTGCCTCCAGACAGAGCGATCCTGGGCAGCATCAAACCAGCAGTCAGAAGGCACAGGGGGGGCTGATGGAGCGGAGATCATCCACGATGACGTCACGCCACCGCTTGCGTGGACCATGGCGAGGGCGTGTTGCAGGGAGCTCCCCAAACAAAACTCGCTTCGGCATGCGGTCGTCGTTCATCCGGCCAACATGGCCAAGCCAACGCAGTCGATATTCCCGGATGATGTCCGCGACGTCACAGTCAATGCCGAGGGTTCGGGCCATGGTAACCGAGGTGACGCGGTTGTCCCACTGGTCCCGCCTGGATACGCCAACGACGATGCGAACACACTGGTGATGAAAGGTGTTGAGAGAGCGCAGGTCCGGTGCCTTCGGCGTCCACGTCTCTGCTCCGTACAGGAGGGTCGTTAGCACAAGGGCGATGTACACGCGGCGCCGACAGCGGAGAGATAACGACCGATTCTCAAACACTGGGACACGGAGACTGCCGAACACACGCGAAGCCTTGGCGAGACGGGACTGCACATCATGCGAAGACTGCCCGTCCCGATGGATGACGCTGCCAAGGTACGTAAAACTGTCAACGGCCTCGATGGTGCTCTCACCAAGAGACACCGGCTCATTCATGGGCGAATTGACAGTCATGCATTTGGTCTTCGATAGACTGACCGTGAGGCCCCACCGCGCCGCACACGAAATAAACAATTCCGTGCACCGATCAAAAATCGGCTTAGTGGTGGCATACACTGCAGCATCGTCCACAAACTGGGACTCTGTGACGACATCACGTTGCAGGCGGGACTTGGCAGTGCGGTCACCAACCAACTTTCGGCCAACCCGGTAGTGCAGCTCAACACCAGCGTCCGGGCACATGGAGCGCCAATACCCAACGACTGCAGAGAAATACAAGTTAAATAAGACGGGTGCCAAAGTACAACCCTGACGCAGACCGTTGTTGACGTTAATGGCAGCAGTGACACCGCCCTCGATGCGGACCTTCACCTCCATCGACTCATGCAAGGACTTGATGATACTGAGCATCCTTGGGGGAACACCAAACTTCTGGAGCAAACACCACAGGGCTGGACGGGGGATCGAGTCGTATGCCTTTCGCAAATCGACAAAGAGAGCATACAACGGCGAGTCATGTTCGTAAGATTTCTCAATTAATTGCCTGGCAACAAAGATCATGTCTGCACACCCTCTGCCCTTGCGAAAACCAGACTGTGACTCGGGAAGCATCTTCTCCGAGATTGTCTGCAGCCGGTTCTGAAGAATCCGCGCAAACAACTTCCCAACCACATCCAAAAGGCTGATACCCCTCCAGTTATCACAAACTTTCAAGTTGCCTTTCTTAGGGATTGGAACAACGATGGCATCCCGCCACTCAGCGACAACCGATGCCTCATCCCACACCAAATGCATGAGCCGAACCAGACGATCATGGAGCTCCTCACCACCCGAGATAATCATTTCGGGAAGGATACCTGATTCCCCACCGGACTTTCCAACTTTCATGGAGCGCATCGCCGCAAGCATCTCTGCCTTCGTCGGGGAATCATCCAGCTCGGTCTGCAGTGGCTCATCCGGGATAGCTGTCAAGACAGCTGGATCGTACTGGCTCTCGACATTCAAGACGCCGCCAAAGTGCCTGAAAAACCGATCCCGGATACCATCGGAGTCCGTCAGGAGTACACCATCCTCATGCAGCACTGATGTTTCACGCTTGGGCTGTCGACCTACGTGGAGGGTCTGCAACTTCCGGATGCAACGCCACTGAGATCCACCGCCAATCTCAGACCTCTCCGCCTCCTGCGATACAGACTCAATCCACTTTTCCTTGGTCTCCCGAACAGCCCGCGCCACGGCTCGCTGCTTCTGGCGGAAGCTCCTCATCGCTGATCGCGTGCCCTTCTGCAGCATCTCGTTGTTGGCTTGGTTCTTGGCATCGATCAATGGCTGCAGTACATCAATATTCTTTAGGAACCAGTCCGGCTGGATCCTCTTCCTTTCCCCAAGGACTTGCTCAGAAACCTCACACACACAATCCCGCAACGTCGACCACTCCTCATTGGCGCCTGACTGCCGGGGCCGTTGCTGTAGGCCGGTGGACATACTATCTCGAAACTTCTCACGAATAGCATCCCTTGTCAACACCTCCACAGCAGCCACGGCTTTTCGTCTTCCAGATGGAGGCGGGCGAGCTCGGCGCGGCTGAGCAGCACTGATACGAAGCTTGATGCGAACCATGAAATGATCGGTGAAACAATTGGCACCGCGCATAACGGAAACATCCTGACAATGCCAATGCTGAGACTGCCGCATGAGCACCATGTCGATAAGATGTGGGAGCCTGGTGGCGGGGTGAGTCCATGTACCACGCCGATGGTGAGGCTTTCGATACCACGTGTTCATAATGGACAGCTGGTTTGTAGCACACCACATCAGCAGCCGTTCTCCTGCTGCATTACACTGTCCAAGGCCATACCTGCCACGAACATCAGACCACATATCACCAGAAGCAGGCTGAACACCCACACGCGCGTTGAAATCCCCCAGAACAATTTGAATGTCATCACGTGGTACTCCGTCCAGTGTAGTCTGCATGTCCGCGTAAAATTTATTTTTCGTTGGCAAACTGGCCTTACTAGTGGGAGCGTAACAATTGATGACAGACAGGAACAAGTCCGACCGTCTCCTCCACCACTGCGAGGGCACCCAATCACCCGCGTCCGCCAGTTTGAGTCGCGCCACCACTATTCTTGAGCCTACTGCCGTCCAGGACTTGCCACCACGTCGCCACGCGTCAGTCATCTCTGGGTTGAGGACGATGCCAACGCCCTCGTTGCGGAACGCTGGAGTACCAGCAGGAGGCAGCTGACGGCCCGAGTGTATCATAGTGAAGCCAGACGACGACCAGACGTCCGCCCCGAACCATTTCGTCTCCTGTACGCCAGCTATTGCTATTTCGAAGCGCTTCAGCTCCGCTACCAAAAATTCAAATTTTCGGTCCACTACCGTATCCGCCTGCGCTGTCGATGGACGGGCCCTTGAAACCTTAGGGTCGCCGCCGTCCTCAACAAGCGTCCTGACATTCCATGTCGCGATATTCAACTTCCTGGCCTTCGCTTCTCCTCTCCGTCGACCCGAGTCCACACGCGCCCGCACCATTTCAAACAAATTTCAAAAAATTTCAAACGAGCGAGCAGACGTCCTCTTGTGCAAGCGTCAGTCAACACTACACTGCAACGGCTTGCAAGACCATTAGCAGAGGCCACAGCAGTCGTTCCCTGGTATCCACCACACGGGAAACAACTCACACACACACACACACACACACACACACACACATATATATACGCACACATACACACACACACATACACACACACAAAAACACATATGCACACACACACAGACACACACACATACACACAAACACACACACCTGTACTTGTACTTGCTCACTGCCAAAACTGGTCACGTTGGTCTCCCCAGAAGAGGGGAGAGAGAGACTCAAAAGGAATCTTGGAAAGATGACTCAATTGGCCATTGAACCACCCAACGGCCGACACCCCCTGAAAATCCCCAAACTAGGGTGGACTTGAAATGATCCCACTTATGGGCTCACCACACCTCAGTAAGTGGGTGAGGACAAGGTGCAGAAAAAGGATTGACGGCATCAGGGTATCCGTCCCGGGATCCAACTGCAGGTACCCCTGCCCCCAGTGAAGGTAATACTTGGTACTAGTGTGGGTAGCTAAATCAGAGTGGATCTGATTTTAAGCTTCACTAGCACCATTGATTACACAAGAGTTAATCTAGCCAGAAGCAGTCCATGGTTAACAGGTATGTATACTTCAAATAGAAAGTATATGAACCCTGGAACCAACGAAGGTGGCAGGTATAACATTAAACCTTCAAGCAACCGAGCCCGTTGGCAACAGGCCCAACACTATCTGGCATAAGTGTACCCACCAACCGAACTAGCTGGCACACAAACACACACCTTCCTTCCTTCTACCACTGCCATGGCTGGCTATGTGGCCCCATACAGGGCAGACCAGGAGACGTGTTGTCCATCGGGCGGGGAACGCCATACTCAGCAAGCGCGGGCCGCGCAAACAGCGTTACACTTGTGCCTCGCAAAATCCTGCAGCCGACGAAAACTGCGCGCACAAGTGCCACAGATGAGGGGCTTCGCCGCAGGCCCCATGCGGGACTGGACAATAGCGTCGACAGCATCACGGCAGGTGACCCGCCATCCCTGTCGATCTTGGACGATGTCACTAAGCTGCTCCAGAGGAACGCCAACAGCCATCAAGTCGCACTTCGCGGAGTCCTTCCAGCGCTTACGGGGTCCATGCGGTGGACGTTTGGAGGGTAACGCGCCGTACAGCAGCTGACGAGGGATCCGATCTTGCATGCGAGACGATGGCCAAGCTATCGAAGTTGACTCTGACTTTATTCGCGATCTCCTCCATATCGCCCCACATCCTGCGAACCTGGAGAGAGATGTGCTCCTCGATCTGCCGGCCACGATTTATCTTCAGGATGGAGCGCACGCACTGCAGGTGAAAGGGCTCCAGGCGACGGACATCACGCTGCCTGACGGTCCAACTCTCAGATCCATAAAGAAGGACCGCCAGGACAGTCACTCCATACACAATGCGCTTGATGGCGATGCTGAAGTCATCACTGTCGAAAACCGACTCCCGCAGTGTACAGAACGCACCCGATGCAGCAGCAACTCGCCGAGACACATCAAATGAGCTCCGGGCGTCTGGCGTAACATGACAACCGAGATAGCGAAAGGCCTCAACGTGGTCAACAACACCATCCAAAGGGGTCTGGTCGGCATCCACAATACCAGCCCCAGCCGCCATGAATTTGGTCTTGGACATATTGACACTAAGGCCAAACGCACCAGCTACATCCCTGAACGAGGATAGAGCCCTCTCAGCACCAGCATGCGTAACTGCGAGCAGGGCTGAATCATCCGCAAACTGACACTCCGTCAGCCGAACTCTGCGATGCTCTACCAATCTGGTGGTGAAAAGCTGCTCCCTCCGAAACTGGACGAGTGGGATCCCCAGCTCACCATCATCAGCAATCACGCCACGCCATTTCTCAAAGACTGCACACATGTATAGGTAAAACAAAAATGGGGCCATAGTGCAACCCTGCCGCAAGCAAACCGTTCTCAACCCGAATCGGTGCAAGCAGGTCTCCACCCACACGAGTACTGGCAGTCATGTCGCTATGGAAGAAACTGATGATGGTGATCAGATTCCCCGGGACGCCAAGTCTAGCCAACACTCTCCACATAGCACTCCGAGTCGTACGCTTTCTTCAGATCGATAAATACAGCCACAAACACACACACACACACACACAGACACACACACACAAACAGACACACACGTCTAGGTGGCTATGAAGTCGAGACCCTAGGTCGGCGGAGTTCCCTAAACCTCACCACCACTGCCACGATTCAGGTTGTGCGTGCTTCCCCTAGCTGCATCTCATGTTTGGCATTTAAGTGGTCTTAGTAAAAAATATAAAAAAATAAACACAGACACACAGACACACACACACACACACACACCACACACACACACACACACACACACACACACGCGCACACACACACACGCACGCACGCACACACACACATACACACACACACACACACACATAGACACACACACACACACACACATAGATACACACACACAGACACACACACATAAACACACACAGACGCACACACACAGACACACACACAGTCACACACAGTCACACACACACACCCCACACCCACCCGCCCCCGCTCCATGTCCGCTACAGTAGATGCTATACGATATCGTTATACCGTGCAACACCGTACGGTACAGGACAGGTACGGGATAGCGCCAGGCATGCCGATAGCACAAACAAACAAATAAACACGGATTTAAAGCTGTGCGGACTCTGGCTAGCGCTAGACGTTACTGAAGCAACGTCTTTTGCATAGCTACGGGAATAAAGGGAATTGCACCGTACATAGCTTACACAAATCCGCTTCAAAATATTCCATTTAGGTGCAACTATTTTTCGGAAGGAAATAATTACTTCTTCCTTGTAAGCCCAAGCCTCTAGAGCTCGAGTAGCTGCATCATTTTCTGTAGAGAATAACGTACAAGTTGGCTCTATACATCCACCGCTGACCACTATACGGATGAATAGAATAACCACCAGCACTCTTCTTCTTCTACCACCTTTTTCCCAGACTGGTCGAATCCACTCGAGTCACACAGACAGAATATGTGCTGTACAGCCTTTTGCCTCCGTTGTTTTGTGTCCATAATTATATAGTATGCTATGTTTTTTTCCTTGATCATCTTAGTTTTAATCTGGTTCCTCCTTGGACAATATTATCTGGCAATGAAAGTTTGGGGCACCTGGGACATGGACCAGTGGTTATAAACGTATTTTAAGTACTGATGAATTAGTTTGTAAACGGATCTAAAACCAGTGGCATAGACCATGGCTTGCAGGGCATTTCAGATTTCTATCCACTAGCAGGGTTTAATGACCAGCCGGATCCGCAATACTGAGGGAGGACCTGATCCACACAGTAAAATCATGGGGAGGGGGGGGGGGGGGGAGAGGAAGAGAAAAATTCCAAACGCGTTGTACTATACCTCTCTCTCCATTGTGATGCGCCGAATCTTGTCCGGTGTGATAATCAGAGAATGTGCGGCGGGTGCAGCAGAGTGCTGTCTAGAACTGTCACCAACCTACACACGTATCCAGGGTAGAATGTGAATAGAGGAAGGTAAGCAACACACACATACACACACACATACACATACACACACATAATATATATTAGTAAGCACACGCACATTGAAGCAGATGCACACACACATACATGAATGTATGTACACATGTATTGTGAGTACACATACATTGCACTTGTACTTGCTCACTGCCAAAAACTGGTCACGTGGTCTTCCCGGGAGAGGGGAGAGAGATTCAAAAGGCATCTTGGAAAGATGACTCAATTGGCTATTGAACCGCCCAACGGCTGACACCCCCTGAAATCCCCAAACTCTCGGTGGACTTGGAAATGATTCAACTTATGGGCTCACTACCCAGCAGTAAGTGGGCGAGGAGAAAGTCCAGAAAAGGATTGACGGCATTCGAGGACGCATGCACGCACTCGCATGGTGAAAATCAGGGAGCTGTGGCATTTTTGAGGAAACGGACTATTTTTACGCAAAATGATGTGTATCAGGACTCATGGTCGTGCGCACACGCACATACACTCATATGCCTGCTCACCAACCCAAACACCAACCCAGAACGACCATTCAACCTCCCCCCTCCCCCCAACTCCCTCCTCCTCCTCCCCCACCTAACGCACAACACACCTACACCCCCCCCCCCCCCCCCAATGATTGCCTGTCTTTGGAGAGCAAGACGTGGCCTCACGCTGCAGAGCAGAATTGGCTAATTCCGGAGTATCATTGTGCCTGTATTTCTCTACGGCTCAGGCTCCTAGAGCACAGCACAGCCCTGACCCAAACCCATCTTCATCGTCTGCAAGTTGTGCAGAACTGAGGTGAAAAGGCACTCTTTGGGAGACTGCACCTTGAAGCTGCACATGACCTGCTAGAACTTAAGTCGGTCTACCGAATCCGTGAGCTAAATGTTCAGAAGGTATTGACGCTCATGCGGCGCCGCCTCCATGGCCGTAGCCGGCCCACACTGAGAAGAACTCTTCAAGCTGTGCGATGGCCACTCAATCAGGCTCAGAAACACACAAAGGCTTGGAGGACCCAGTAAGCTGAAGCCATGCTGGGCATTGTTGGCTTGCCTCAACGGGCAGCACACTGCGGAACTCTCTAGCACCTGCATCGTGTCGGCTTCAATACTCCACTACCAACATTGGTCAAAATCATCGGAGAGTATCCATTCATGGACAGATGTGTGTGAACTGCTACACTCTTCATGTATTATGGTACTAGACACAGACCAGAAACCTGTTTTACCCATATTCTCCTCTATCTCTATCATACAGACCAGATATCTGTTTTAACTAGCATGCTCTCTATCTCTCTCTGTCTCTCCCTCCCTCCCTCCCTCCCTCCCTCTCTCTCTCTCTCTCTCTCTCTCTCTCTCTCTCTCTCTCTCTCTCTCTCTCTCTCTCTCTCTCTCTCTCTCTCTCTCTCTCTCTCTCTCTCTCTCTCTCTCTCTCTCTCACTCTCTCTCTCTCGGCGTAGTGTACATTTCTTATGGATCAAATCCAGCCAGTATCTTTAATTCCCGGTTTGTGAATCACACACAAGGGAGTCGATAAACACAGAGATCTGTGGAAATCAGTTCAAACCTGTATGCACTGTGAAAGAAAACATCGACAGCAGCAAGCTCTAGAACAGTTTTTTTATTTACATTTTTGTCTCTTTTCACACTATCATTGGACCGGATGAGGCGAAGCATGCCTTTGGCATTATACACATTATCAGTGGTATACTGGCAACACCAATCAAGATTTGTTGAGCAAGATCTGCTTACGCTAGAAACTGGAGTGGTCCTGGTGGCTCCGCTTTCTGCACTAGACGTCTGTCCTCTGCTAGCACTGGTCATTGCTGACCGTCCAGAGTCAGCGCCACTTCCCTGACCCTGTAATGTACAGAACAGCATAAGCATGTACACACATTTACATGCATACACACACACCAGTGTATGGCCGTAAAGACATGCACACATGCACATGCACCCAAGCACACGCGCATGCCCAAGCACACGCGCATGCCCAAGCACACGCGCACACACAGAGTAAGAGCTGACTGTCGGCCGTGCAATATGACCGTCCGCAGCCGACCCTGCACTAGTTATGGCTGATGTGAAGTGTGAGAAAGAATCAACATTGTCGACATCTCCACCACTGGGGTACATGCAAGTTTGCAGGGTCTGACAGCGTAGAAACTAGACCTGAGTCGGGTAGCATTTTCCCCCGGGTATCGGGTTCGGATAGTTTTCTACGGGTAGCACGGTACTCTCTCTCTCTCTCTCTCTCTCTCTCTCTGTCTCACTCTCTCTCTCTCTCTCTCGGCGTTGTGCACATTTTTTATGGATCAAATCCAGCCAGTATCTTTAATTCCCGGTTTGTAAATCACACACAAGGGAGTCGATAAACACAGAGATCTGTGGAAATCAGTTCAAACCTGTATGCACTGTGAAAGAAAACATCGACAGCAGCAAGCTCTAGAACAGTTTTTTTATTTACATTTTTATCTCTTTTCACACTATCATTGGACCGGATGAGGCGAAGCATGCCTTTGGCATTATACACATTATCAGTGGTAAACTGGCAACACCAATCAAGATTTGTTGAGCAAGATCTGCTTACGCTAGAAACTGGAGTGGCCCTGGTGGCTCTGCTTTCTGCACTAGACGTCTGTCCTCTGCTAGCACTGGTCATTGCTGACTGTCCAGAGTCAGCGCCACTTCCCTGAGCCTGTAATGTACAGAACAGCATAAGCATGTACACACATGTACACACCCACACCAGTGTATGGCCGTAAAGACATGCACACATGCACATGCACCCAAGCACACGCGCATGCCCAAGCACACGCGCATGCCCAAGCACACGCGCACACACAGAGTAAGAGCTGACTGTCGGCCGTGCAATATGGCCGTCCGCAGCCGACCCTGCACTAGTTATGGCTGATGTGAAGTGTGAGAAAGAATCAACATTGTCGACATCTCCACCACTGGGGTACATGCAAGTTTGCAGGGTCTGACAGCGTAGAAACTAGACCTGAGTCGGGTAGCATTTTCCCCCGGGTATCGGGTTCGGATAGTTTTCTACGGGTAGCACGGGTACTCTCTCTCTCTCTCTCTCTCTCTCTCTCTCTCTCTCTCTCTCTCTCTCTCTCTCTCTCTCTCTCTCTCTCTCTCTCTCTCTCTCTCTCTCTGTCTCTCTCTCTCTCTCTCTCTCTCTCTCTCTCAGTCTCTCTCTCAGTCTCTCTCTCTCAGTCTCTCTCTCAGTCTCTCTCTCTCTCTCTCTCTCTCTCTCTCTCTCTCTCTCTCTCTCTCTCTCTCTCCACACTATACTTTCGCCATTTTTTTTAATCTCTTTTGTTTCTCTTCTGTTCCCGACTTTCTGATGCGTGAAGCAGGCACGGATGCCGAGACCATTGGTCGGCGGAGCCTGCAGCACCCCATCACCACCGCTGCGTTGCATTCGCAGAACCATTCAGTCAATGTCTTGTTAGTCTGTTGTTTTGTAATGTCCTGCTTCTTTCTTCTTTTACGAATTGGGTGAGTGGTTTCAAGTAAAAAAAAGCCTTTTGCACTACAGAACTGTAGGGCGCCGAAGAACGGTCCGCAGAAGAACGGCCAGGCTGGATTTTCACTTTTTTTTCAAGGAACAGTGTAGGCTGGATTTATTTCAGTTGAGAATGGAAACCCTAATATACACTATGTAATGTACACTCAGACGTATAACTCTGCATACATGTACATGTAAGACTGTAACATCGAATAAGAACGAAACTGCTGTGTTCGCTAAAAATAGTAACGGGCTAGGCTAGAACCCTGCCCCCCCCCCCCACACACACACAGTTCTTTGGCTCCAGACAGTACTCTATACACATTATCAGTGTTGTTCTGGATACGACGGTCATCTTGTAGCCGAGGAAACCAGGCTCCGTCTGTACTACGCAATCGTCATACCAGTGCTGTTATACAACTGCGAACCATGGAGACTGACAGATGCTGCCTTGGAGAAGCTGGGCGCCTTCCACAAACGCAGACTACAGAACTTATCCAGAATTTGGTATCCCACAATCTTCTCCAACCACAACAGGCAATGGACAACTCATTCCATCAAGATGTCACTGGTATGCTTGAACACCAAAAGTTGAACCTGGCCACGGCAGTCAAGGAAAGGAAAGCGCTGCTCTCAAAGACGTGCCACTGAAGACCGTGAACAATCTAAGTGAGCTAATACTACGCACTTTGGACAAGTAATAATGTAGAACTTTTAGCCTGAGCTGGTTTGGCTCGCGCATGAAACGCACGGAGTAGTTGGTCCCGGACAGAGGCGGACCAGGCATCATGACTTTGCACATAATTATTATCGTTATGCTGCTTCATTACTCGACCTGTTCTATTCTCATTATTCTTTCTGCCAGCACCAATGAAGATTATTCCGCTTACACTAGAAACTGGAGTGTTCCTGGTGACTCTAGTGTCCGCACCAGAAGTCGATTCTCCGCTAGCACTGGCCATTGCTGATCGGCCAGAGTCACTGCCACTTCCCAGACTCTGAAATGTACAGAACGGCATAAGCATGTACATGTACATGTACACACATTTACACACACACACACACACGCATATGCACACGTACACACACACACACACACACACCAGTGTATGGTCGCAAAGGCATGCACACATGCACCCAAGCACACGCGCATGCCAAAAAACACACGCACAGTGTAAGAGCTGACAGTCGGCTGTGCAATATGGCCGTCCGCAGCCAACCCTGCACTAGTTATGGCTGATGTGAAGTGTGAGAAAGAATCGACATTGTCAACATCTCCACCACTGGGGTACATGCAAGTTTGCAGGGTCTGACAGCGTAGAAACTAGACCTGAGTCGGGTAGCATTTTCCCCCGGGTATCGGGTTCGGATAATTTTCTACGGGTAGCACGGGTACCTGATTGGGTAATTTTTCCATGGTAACACCACAATGCACTCCTTCCCTTACACACTGGGTAGACATGCGGAGTATTACGTGAATGTGTATACGTGCACTGAACATGATGTCATCTGCGACTTCAAGAGAGAATAGTACCCGTCTACCCGAGGTCCTTACGGGTAGCACGGGTACCTGACTGCTCGTGCACACCACTAGTGGAAATATCCTTGTTCTGGTATTTAGACTGACCGGCAAACTCGACTCAAGTACTGCACTGCAATGAATGTCAGAAGGCATTTGGTATCATGATGAGTGGCTTGTGGACTACGGAACCATAATTTTGTTGAAACACGCATTGCTATTCTATAGAATGTGCTATACATGGCATACCGTTGAAGATAGTGTCCCAATATTATGGTCACACATATAGATAACTGTCATGTGTGCTTGCAGACAACAACACATTGGTGTTTCATAAAATAATTATATAGTGAACCAAAATTACTCAAATCAATGGATTGCCATGCTTCTCTTTCCTTCACATCCATTCGAGTCAAAACTTGAAAGAGTAAAAAAACTGAAGTTAAAGGGAAAGTATACCCTAAAATTAAATTTTCACCATGCAGTTGTAGAGTTCGGGTGCGGAGTCGAATGGTCTTGGTCCGAGGAAGCTGAGACGCTCCCTTCCTCCTTTAATCCCAATCGAACTCGCGCACTTACACCGAAACTGGGTGCACCCTACTAGATGGGGATTTGTATGCAAAAGTCGCTAAAAGCGCTGTTTCGTTCTTATAAAAGCATGGATGACCGCGATTGGTCCATATATCGTTTTCTTTTGGACACTGAGTCGACTGGTTTTGGTCCGAAAAAGCTACAATGCAGCAGCGTTCGGCCCTTATTCCCAATCAGACACGGGTGAGTAAGCGGTCACGTGCGCATGCGTACACCAGTCACCTGGTCGCCGTGCCTGCAGACTACAACTTTCACACAAAAAAATTCACGGTTCGCGTTCAACTCCAATGTGCAAAAGGTTCAACTAGAGTGACAGAAAAGGTGTAAAAACTCACGGTTTGCGTTCAACTCCAATGTGCAAAGGTTCAACTAGAGTGACAGAAATGGTGTAAAAACAAGAGTACTTACCCCCCCCCCTCCCCCCCCCCCCCCAGGGTTACTCTTGGTAAACAGTGTAGCCTGCAGGCACGGTGACCAGGTGACCGGTGTACGCATGAGCACATGACCGCTTACTCGCCCGTGTTCGATTGGGAATAAGGGCCCAACGCTGCTGCATTGCAGCTTTTTCGGACCAAAACCAGTCGACTCATCGTCCGAAAGACTACAACATCGCGGTCATCTGTGCTTTTACATGAACGAAACGGCGTATTTAGTGACTTTTGCATACAAATCCCCATCTAGTAGGGCGAAGGCACCCAGTTTCGGTGAAAGTGCGCGAGTTCGATTGGGAATAAAGGAGGAAGGGAGCGTCTCAGCTTTCTCGGACTAAGACTATAATTATGACTCAGCACCCAGAAATTGGATTTTAGGGTTAACTTCCCCTTTAATGAATAAAACGAACCCCAGTCTTACCTCCAGTGTAGAGCGAAGGTGTGATAGTTGGTCATTCACTCCCCGGTTGGTCTCTGCTAACTGCTCTCTGATGGATGTACGTAGGTCTGTCTGCTCGGTAGCAACCACTGCTACATCTCCTTGCAGGCTGGTGACTTGCTGGTTCATAGCCTCCTGTCGGTCGTGCATTTCAGACACATGCTGGTTCGTAGTCTGCAGTTGGCCACGGATCCCAGTCACTTGCTGGTTCGTAGTCTCCAGTCGGTCACGGATCTTAGTCACATGCTGGTTCGTAGTCGCCTGTCGGTCACGCATCTCAGTCATATGCTGGTTCGTAGTCTGCAGTTGGCCACGGATCACAGTCACTTGTTGGTTCGTAGTCTGCAGCTGGCCCTGCATCCCGGTCACTTGCTGGTTCGTAGTCTGCAGTTGGCCACGGATCCCAGTCACTTGCTGGTTCATTACCTCCTGTCGGTCACGCATCTCAGTCACATGCTGGTTCGTAGTCTGCAGTTGGCCACGGATAGCAGTGGTTTCCAGCTGAGTGTCGACAAGACGCTGTGTTATGGTGCTGAGTTGGTCCTCTACTGCAGAGCTGCGTGCGGTGATGTCAGCAATGCATGTAGCTTGCTGGCTTAGCTGCTGTGAAATCGACTCTAGTTGCCTGGTAACCGCTGTACCAGCAGTGCTAGGCTGACTCTGTACAACATCATCAAATATACACACAGCAAACGGAGGGACAGACGGAGGGACAGACAGAGGGACAGACGGAGGGACAGACAGGCAGACAGACAGACAGAAAGAAATGCATAGAGGCAAAATAGGTAAACGGATAGAGAGACAGATACACACACAGGCAGACATTCTCCAAGAAACTCAATGTACATCAAGGTGTGTTAGGACGCACCTCAAAGTTGCATATCAAGCACAATACATCAGCAACAGTAATAGATACTCGTGTATACATACACTGTATGAAGACCTACACGTTTGCTGCATTCATTTTACCTAGCATACACACTGACAGTGACAGTGAATGGGTATGTAAAAAAACATTCCTGAGTATGTGACTGTTTCATTGCAGTTCATACTAGTACTTCACATTCATGTACTCATGAAATAAACGTTTAGGTCACATTCGATTACAAACAACACATAATTGCTCACCGGCAAAATACTGTTTAACATGGCCAGGAAACGTTTGATCTCTTCGTGCGCTTGCTCGGCTGACGGTCGGTCCTCGGGACGGTTAGAAAGGCAGCGACGTATCAATGGCTTCAATGTATGTTCATCCGGCAAACGTGCTAGGTAGCGTGCTCTGCGTGTTGTCTCCGGAATCACTTCTTCAACTTGTTGGCCACATTCTCGCACGACGACGAAATGTGGCGCTGTGATCAACTCGATGCCAGGCATAACTCCTGTTAGAACGCTCAGCATCATTACACCTAGCGAAAACACGTCCAAGGGACGATCGTAATCCGGAGCCTCACGCAACGCCTCAGGTGCCATGAATAGCAGCGTACCTGGGCAGCGAGTCATCTCCATTGCCGATTGGACTTGGTGCTGTTGTTGTCGAGGTGAGGTCAAGCGCACAAATTTAGCGCCGCCGAAATCACTGACTTTGGCCGTGCCATTTTTCACAAGCACATTCTTGGGCGCTAGATCGCGGTGAATGATTCCGAATGAATGCAGATAGCGAAGTCCTGCACTTGCGTCGCAGAGATACGACACGAGCTTAGGAGCATCTTCTCTGCCATCTCCAATGCTAGCGTCTTCTAGAGACGCCGACAATAACTCCAGGGCCAACGCAGCATTTCCCCTTACCCGAGCTAATCCTATCAGTTGACACAGGTTCGGGTGATGTACTCTGCTAAGACGAAACACCTCTTGGCCAAACGCTCTGAGCTTACGCTCTCTATCCTGTACACCTGGCTCAACAAACACGGGGTGTAAAACTTTGAGAGCGATATCGATACCTTGCCAGTTGACCCTGTAGACTATGGCATCTGATCCTCTGCCGATTTCGTCTTCGTCTCTCACCTGAACGTCACCTAGGAACGTGATATGCTGGTGTGTTAGCCCTAGGTCATCCAGCAACGCCTGACCGTCGCGATTCATCATGAACGACTTTGTCTACGATAGTCACGCTTCAGACAATCCGTTTCCAGTGGTAAGAAAAAGAACAAACAAAACAAGGACGCATTCTTCCCTCACCAACTCGGCGGCTAGATGAAAAAAATGTTTTCGATGCTGGCCTTACTATACGGTATCTGACTGCTAGTAGGTGGAGCTTCGCAGGCGAAGCCTTCTGTTCTGGGATGACTGGGATCTTACGATGCCGCAGATCTACGTAGATCTCCCATGTCTTCTGCGCCGGCTGGCTTCAAATCCTGTTCTTTCTGTGCGGTGCCCGGTATCTCGCATGATCTCGGAGGGTCATAATATGCATGGGCATGGCATGCGCTGTACATGACATTGTGTACATGTACTGTAAGTGTAAATACAAGTAAACCACTGGACTCGACTCGCACTGCACTGCACTGGCCTTCTGACCTCCAGACCTGTGCTCATGTGTCTGACCGGCAACAACGGCAGCAAGAGAAACGCCGTTCCCGCATGCACCTTTGTTATGGTCCCTTCCCTGTTCTCCGTCGGTCAGCCACGTACATGTCCATTTCAACCGATGTACGTCGTGACAGCGCTCGGCTCAGGTCCATTGATGGCTTCAACAAGTCCACCCACATTAATTTTACTGGTCTAGCGGTGCCGCGGCCACTACTGCCCCGTCGATCCAGCACATAGTGAAGCGTTTCCATAGCCTGAGCGTCTCATTATTATTATTATTATTATTTGAAGGATTCCCCAAAGGCCGAAGCCTAAATCAAGGGGGTCTCCGAGAATAAATATGCGTGTACAATGCGTGTACAATAGGGTGCAATTCTTAAAAGGAAGAAAATATTACGATAAAAAAAGATTAATGTGAAGAGGTTAAATAAGAAGTCTGAGTAGAAGCAAGCGAAAAGGGTACTGGTAAAGAAGGGGGGTAATCAGGAAGTGAGAAAACCTCGAGGATGGAATCTATACCTGTGGAAATGGGACATAACGTGCTGGCTAAATACACCACGGGTTTCAGATATCCTAATCTCGGTAGGCAGGGAGTTCCACGTGGTGATCATGGAATGTAGTGGAGTGGATCGGAAACAGGGACCAGTGTGAGTGGGCAGGAGGTAAAAGTGGGGACGTCGTGCACTCTTGGATAGAACTATGTTGAGATTATTGAGGGTTTCCGGGTATTGGCGGGTGAAATGGTAAAACAGTTTGAGGCAATGTATATGCCGCCGCCACGCAAGACTTTCCCATTCAGCAGCTTCAAACACATTCTCCATGCCATGAGGAATGGGCACTTTCCGACGGTGTAAATACTGCCTGGCCACGCGTGCTTGCAATCGTTCCAAAGTGTCAATATTTCCTGCGGTCAGTTTGTTATTCCACAGAGGTGAAGCATACTCAATGGAGGGACGGACGTATCCTTTGTAGAGGCGGGCAATGAGAGCAGGGGTCAGATTGGGTGGCATGTAGGATAGCAGAACAACGCGACGACGAAAGTTGGAGGTGACACTATTGATGTGGGTCTGGAAAGACAGGCGGGGATCCAGGGTGATTCCTAGATGGCGGTGGGTAGTCGAGGGACATAGGTCTGCAGCATCCACACGCAGTGCTGGGGCAGGAGTCTGGGCGGGGTCAAGTTTGCCGAATACAACACGCACGGATTTAGCGGCATTAAACCTGCCACCAAATGTAGCAGCCCAGTCCATCACCATGTTCACTGCTGACTGGAGCTGTTGAGGTGCTGCTGCTGACGGTCGGGATAACCCCAGCGCAGTATCATCAGCATAGAGGTATGTTTCCGTCCTGTTGCCATCAGGGATTGATCTCGGGAGGGTATTAATGTACAGGAGAAATAGGATGGGGCCAAGGTGGGAACCTTGAGGAACTCCCGCCGAGATAGGGGCGAGGGGGGAAAGGTCTTCGCCAACTTTGACCTGTAACTTGCGAGCTTCAAGGCAACCTGCAAACCAAGTAGTAGCCGTTGGGTTGCATAGTGGTTGTAGAAGGGCCAGAAGGGTAGAATGCGGGACGCGATCAAATGCCTTGGCAAAATCCAAGAAGACCACATCATACTCCTGGCTGCTGTCCATGCTCTTGGCGGCGCTAGCCATTAAATGTATCAGTTGGTCAACTGTGCTCCGACCGTGTACAAACCCGAACTGATCCGAAACTATTACATCTTCATTCCTAAGGAACCTGCTAAGACGGCGCGCGACAATCGAATCAAGCACTTTGGCGACCGAGTTCAAGAGAGAAATAGGGCGGTAGTTCTGGGGTTCAGCTGTGGAACCTCTCTGCTTATAATATTGGTACAACTTGCGCCGTTTTCCACGATGGTGGCAGGCGGCCTTGTGGTATACTTTTAAAAATTAAAGACTTTGCAGAGGGAGTGGGCAATGACACCAGCGGTCTCCTTCAGAATGCGGTTTGGGATGTCACCATCGGCAGCTTTATGGACAGGCAATCTCTTGAGAGTATCAAAGATGTCGTAGGCAGATATAACTGAGATATCGAAGGGCGATGTTGGCGTAGGTGGGGGGTGTAGAATAGGTAGTTGTTGGGTGTGGGTGTTGGAGCATTGGTTGGAGAACACGTCAGCCAGCAAGTGCGCCTTGGAGGCGTCTGTGGTTACAACCTCGCCTCCAGACTCAAGGGATGGAATTGGTGCACGCGTTTTAGATATATTGGTGAGCTGTTTGGCTTGGCGCCACCACTGGTACGGACTTCGTTCTCTGTCAACCCGTGCGCTCATGTTCTCCAGGTAGATCGCTTTAGAACGTCGGACGGAGGCTTGATAGGCATTGCGGGCAACTTTAAAGACAACCCAGTGGGTTGTTAAGTTTGTACGCTTGGCTAAACGGAAAAGGCGGTCTTTTTCTTGCAAAGAGTGGCATGGCGGCCAGTGTACCAGGGTGTATCTGTTCTTCGCTTTGTGGAAATAGTTCTCATAGGCACGTGTGACGAGATTGCCGTAGTAATGCAGGAATGTCAACTATCCCATGCTTGCTCAACTGAGGACATACTACTGATGTCAGACGAAAGTGGAAGATTCCATATGTGGTCTCTGAGTGCATCAAAATCGGTGTTTACGTAATCAGGAACGGCACGTGACTGACTGGGAGATGACTGGGCAAGGGAAGGCAAAGCAACTTTGAAGGCAACGGGACAGTGATCGGAAATGGAGGACAGCACTTGAATGTCACATACATGCTGTGGTGTGTTTGTGATGACAAGATCAAGGAGCGATGGACCCTGGCGGCCAGTGGCAGAATATCTAGTCGGGGTGTTGTGGACGAGTTGGATGAATCCAAACTGGTCAAATACTTTGAGTAGAAGCTTGCCTTCTGCTGTAGATGGGTCTGTAGAGTTCCATGTACGTAGTTTAGCGTTGAAGTCACCCACTAAGATTGTGGGCAAGTGTGGCTGGTTCTGTTCAAAGGTACGGCTGAAGGAAGTGAAAAATTGGTCGCGCTCGTCTACGGTACGATGTGGCGGGCGGTAGAAGACATGAAAGGCCATTGGAAGCTGTTGAGTGATGCTTACTCGAAGACAGAGATGTTCTATGTCCGGGCCCTCCATTTGTGGCAGCC